TGAGTGGTCAAATGAAAATGCGCAAAGATTATTTTTGTCGGAACTAATATTCAATAGCTCACTGATAGGAGCCATTGCATCTATGGATAAAAAATTTTTTTTTCGGAAAAAAATTGCAAGTTTTACAAAAATACTTTTTCAATTTTCAAATTTCACGCGATCTTTAGTTGAAAGCTACATTTGTGGCTATACTTCTGTCATCGCGCTTACATATTTGGGTAAATTAATGGGCATGTCTGTAATTTTTTGAAATACACCTATTTTGGGTAATAATCCATTTTGATGCTTTTCGGGCGTGCGTAAAACAATTGAGAATTCCAACAATTATTCAGCTTCTGGGCGAATCGACAACTGTACATGCAAACATGTATACATATAAACAATGCCAGCACCCATGTAAAAATTCGCAATCAATATATAAACAATGTTCGCACCTGAATTTTTGCAAAACACAGTAAAATTCGCAAAGAATCAGTTGGAAGCATCCGAAAACGAAGCAGCACAGATCAACGAAGTGAAAGCCTGCAAGTGAGCGAATTTGTGAATAGAGACCGATAAATATATATTTATATGGACTATGCATTGTGAAAGAAAACAACTGGAAATTATTAAAAATTGTCAGTGAGTGCTATGAATAAACAATTTTTTCATTTCTAAATTAAATAATACATACTATACTACAAAGTGAAGTGATTCTAAACACATGGTAGCCGTTGCCTTTGCAGCTTTCCTTTTGGTCAACTGCATATACATACATACATATGCACATAGTATATTTCTCCTCAGATTTCTGCTCATTTACACTTTAGCGCTACTTTCGTTCAACGGTGAAAAAAGTGGCACTCAAACAAAGAAAACAAAATAAGATTTAAATAATGAATTATTTTATCACAAAAAAAAAAAAAGACAGCAGCTGTATTCACCACAGCAACGACAAAAATAGCACCAATGTGAGAGTAATCGTTGTGATCATCACAGCTGTATTATTCGATTTATGCTCAAGCAACATCAGATGAGTAGTAAACGAGCACGCACACACGCTCAACTATCTTTATTCTCATTTACACTTGTGCGATTGCGAAAAAATACTCACATAAAGGATTTATACAAAAAAAAGTCTACATACGCATGCATATATCAACGTATGTTACTTTGGTGCCCAATAGGAAATTTCGCTATTTTACCGAGGTTGGGGGAACTATATACTAAATTCGGCCTGCAAAAATCCTCTTAAAATTCTTGCTCTGCGAGTTTTCGTACCAGCGGAGAAAATCGACGAATCAGCGCCCTAAGCTGAAAAATTTGCACCAAAGCCAAACGGAGTAAATTTGTCTCTGAGAGGGAACTATTTATGTATGTTTAAATACTGAATTAAGCTTGAAGTCGAAAAGACAGTTGAAAGACGAAACGGGTTCTCAGCATTTTTGTGGTAAACCAAAAAAAAAAGAAAAGGTATGTCACAAGATATCACTCAAGTATCCATAAATATTTCAGTCTATTTATGTATACCATTTTGTTGCAAGAACATTTTTCATATGGCAGCCAGTGCAAAGGACTAACTTAATTAGAACCTGCAGGGCTATTCCGGTATGACTGTAAAACCCAGAAACCACATTGACTACATTTCATGGAACCATTACGTGAGAGAGCTAAAGGAAAAGCCCGCTCTGCTCTTAGCTAAAGCTGCGCAACTGCAGAAGAAGTGTTCGACGATTTCTTCCCCTTCCTCATCTCTGCAACTCCTACAAAATTCATGGGAAAGTACTCCTAGAGTCGAAGAGTGCCGCAGAAATAGCCAATGACCGGTTACACAGGTCATTACCTTCGAAATGTCCTCTCTTGGGAGGCTAAGTAGTTCCTTTTTTCTTTATCAATTTGCGGCCATATTAGCCTAAAAGTGCCCTCATCCTCGTGACCTATTCGCCTCTTGGATAATGCTATTTGTGACCAGTAATTTGAAGGTAGCCATGGTTGGTAGAAGGTTGGTACTTTTCCTGACTAGCTTATCGGGCCTGCCTTATCCAGCAATATCTCTATGTCCGGTACCCATATGAGGCTGACCTTGAAGACGGTGCTGATGTCATCTCCTTCTTGGCTATAACTTCTACCTGGTAAACTCCGAAGTGGTCCGGTATTCGTTCCGATAATTCCAGAGAAAACTCCATACCCAAACCTAATGCCTAGCTTATATCCATCTGTGTAAAAATTTAATTCCCCCGTCTCGGTGTTTGCCACTCTCTTCTCCTTCGTTTTGAAGAGAGCCTGTCGATGGTGGGTTAAGAGGCGGAGTTGACAATTTCTTGATGACAACTATCCAGAGTGTGAAATATAGAATCGTGGCCAAACCACCTATCCTTTCATAGCGCCATACTTTTAAGTCTGAGCGCCGTCTTTTCCTACCAAAAGTACTGCAGCCATGAACGCGATTCTTTAGACCTTACTCAATAGCCTCCACAAAACTAAGACTACTATCTAGAGTAACGGGGAGCACAACCTTCAGCTACATCCAAATCGGGAAGGACGTTTCCGCATCGCTTGAGTGCAAATGACATTTTCGACAAAGCGACTCACTGCCGAGCAATTTCGTCAATTTAATAGTCGGGAAATCTCTGATCTTACCCTCCCTCATTTGATGTTGCTCAGAAACGTTGATGATGTCTGAAAGGGTTTCATGCGCTTTTAAAAAAATAATCGCGGACTCCATTGCAACTTGTACCTACGAAAATGGGCCGAGGAACTGAATAATCTTTACAATGACATGTACCCTGTTTTCTGAAGGACTTGACTAATTTGGTGTGAGCTACTGGCGAAATTTCGCAAAAGTCCGTGAAAATTGATAAACAGTTGTAATGACAAATAAGAAAAATGATACCTTGTAAGAAAAATATGTACAATTATACATATTTTGGAAAGGTGGAGGGCAACTTCATTAGTACCATGCAAATATTTTGGGTCTATTAACGAAGGTGGTTTATTGGCACGCATTTGTGTCGGACATGCCAGCAAAGTCATTAGTGAATGTCATTGTGTATGCTACAGACCTACTTGCCATCAATAGTGATAAACTCAAAGGTACTTTGTTGGAGCTAATAAAATACTTAGGCGGTTGCACACGTAAAATATACGTCGATGTTTTGCGATGTAGCAGTTAAAAGAGACATGGATGTTCTACTACATATATAGTGATTACGCATATCTTATGAACCAATTGAACAGTCGTAATGCGAGGTATGGCAAATGAAAACTAAGAAAATTCTCTATAAACCATAAGCATCACTTTTCGATCGACTGATGGTTTCTGAGAAATAATAATTTTTTGATTAAAAAATTAGAAAAAATCAATTTTTAGTAGGGAAAAAATAATGAGTATTTTTATGGTCATATAAAAGACGAGTAAGGGGTCAAATGAAAATGCGCCGAGTTTTTTTTATGAAAAATGTGCAGGAAGAATATTACTCATACGTCATGTACACCTGTGACACTCTTTATGCTAATATTTTTTTTAACTCTTTGCAATTTTTATCTCACCGCTAATTCCTTTCTATTTATCCGTCGGTTTTCTTTATTAGTAGCTTGATCTTTTAAAAAAAATCAACACAGGTAAAAAATGTTTACACTGGAACTGTTTTTTATTCCCTATTAAAGGTTTTTAATTTTTTCATCCATAAAAAGAAAGAATATGGATAGATTAATTAATTTCTCAAAAACTATCAGGCTTATCAAAAAATTATATATATATACAATTTACAGTAAATTTTGTTAGCTTTCATTTGCCAATTAGTTCGTAAAATATCCGTGATTAAGTGAAACCACTTTCTTTTAGCTGAATGAGTTAAATTGCAAATATCTCGGAAACCTATCCATAGAAAGTATAAATTAACTCGATTTTCGGAAACAGCGAGCAATTTTACGTTGGCATTGGATAGTGGCTGCCATGGAATATTTTTGCTGTAAACCAGAGTTAATATTATAATAATAATAATAATATGAATAAATTAAATTAATATTATAAAATATATATTTAACAGTCTTTAGAGTTTAGAGACACTTGCGATTTTGTTAGAATACTCTTAGATCCCAAAATTCCTATTGGGACTCTTTTCATCTGTCAATAATTTTACACATACTCGTGCAGTTGCCGTATATCTTCTTCTATCTAAAATAATCAAAATACTCAACTCACATGTATCTACAAGATACGCAACTCAATGTGAGAGAAATACATTGAGTCAACCGATCGCCATAACCACCACTACAAACAAAAAGACGAAAATTTTTAACATCGAATTTCGATGCGACGAATGGCCAACGCTTTGCCCAAACTCACAACGATTCGCCACCTCAATTCGATACGACAATTTTAACGAAATTCGACCAAAAATCGAGACGCGCGCGCTAAGTGCACCAACGCCGCTGCAAGAACAACCGCAGTTTAATAATTCGTACATATATACATAAATTAGCAACGGAATATTTAAATGAATTTTTATTCTCAATTTTTCTCAACTTAATGGAAAATAGATTTATTAGTTCATGCAAGAAGCGATAATAAATTTTTGGAAACACATAACAACCAATTAACGCGAACAAACGAGAAGAAAAAAAAAACACTTAACTAAAACGATTCGAATAATCCGAAAAGAAACGGGAAAAAAACAAAAAATAAAAATTAATTCATGGACAAAAATATTTGAATCTAGGAATTTTTCTCTAAAAATTTACGCCACCACAGAAAGCAGTAAATTTTATTCATACACATACATATGTTCCTATGCTGACAAGCCGAAAAAATTCGACGTGCAAAATTTTTTCGGAATACAAATTCAATAGCCAAAATTCAGTTATCAAAAGAATTTGTGATTTGTGGTAACGTGTACAATCTCTACTTTACTATACATAAACTAAATACTATCCTCTACTCTATGTATTCTACACCAGTTTTTGTTACATGTGTTACATACGTACATAGTTAAATTATCAATACCTAGCATTTTTTTTTTATAAATTTCTTGTTGCAATTTTTTATGAAAATAATAAAAAAAAATTTGCATATTTTTTTAGAGAAAAAATTTATAAATATTGTGCTTGTTTTTTGAGTTATTACCCCACGTACGCCTAGAATAGAGGAGCTTGTGCTGAATTTTGTTACAAAAAAAAAAAAAACAATATTTGAAAACTTAAAGTTTACTAAAAAGAAAGAAACATTCATTGAAACATTTTAATTCAAAACAACAAACTTGAAACTCAGAGTGCCAAAAATGGTTGCACAGTGGCAATTAATCAATCAAAATTATAAAAATATGGATGGTAATTTTCCCAAAGCAAAAAACAAAATCTGTACATATGTTTGCATACTGCACGTGTTTCATGTTTTACATATCCACACATCGCTGTGTACATATGCGTATTAATACATAAAAACGAAGTAAAAAAAAAAAAATTATAAATAAATAAAATAAAAAATTTAAAATTCACGATAAATTAAAATAGCTTCAATTAATAAGTAGAAACAAAAATTTCTTTAATAATATTAGTTTATAAATTTATGTATGTAAATAGTTTTATACAAAAAAAATATAATCTTAAAAAAATTATGTTAAACAAAGTTTTTAAATATATTTCTCCTTCAATCATGTGATCACACGTATTAAAATATAAGCGAATTGCGCCCGGCCCCCAAGTCAGTGCCGTCGTCTTTGTCACTATTGTTGGTATTGTTGTTACATCAGCAGCAGCAGTGCACCGCTGTCTTCATCGCTCGCAACGCCAGCCTTTCGATTGGTGCGCTGTGTGGTGACGTGCTCATCTTTGTCAACGTTCCACTTTTGAATATTTATTTATTTCGCTCATTGCCCAAATTTTGAACACACTTGGACATACAAATGGCTGTATTGATAGCAAATGGCATATGAAAGAACTATGTAAATACACATCCGTCCATACATACATATATGTATGTACATAAATAAATACTCCTAGTAGAGCAGCATGATATTTAAAAAAAAACAAAAAAAATCTGCATTCCTCTGGCGGCTATTATTTGTTGTCGTCCAAATTATCAATATTTTTAGTATTATAGAGGGAAATATGAGCACTGAAATCATCCGTTTATATGTATGTGTAAACTTTTATAATAGCCAGAATTCTATGGCATACAATTTTTCAACTTATATGCGACAAAAAAAAGTTTATTTTTATGCGAAAAACTATGCCAAAATGTTGGTGCATTTTCGTGAGTTTGCTCGCAAACTAAATGGAATTCCATTTTATTTTCTATTCAGTCTTTTTGAGCACAAAATATGTAAAAAAAAAAACAAAAAACAGGAACTCCTATTAAAAACGATACATACTTATAACATATTTTCCGGAAATAGCTGCATACATATGTTTTTTTAAGGTATGCTATTAGTTTGGAACATAATGTCCAGTTTTCCCCTTTTGCGCTGATAGTTTTTTATTCGGAAAATTGTGTTTCCTGTTATAAAAATATTTACATTTTTTAACTGTAAAGTATTTAGGCAGTCACGTTGTTTAGTATTTTTCCGAACACAAGGCGTTGTTTTCATAAAAGTAATTAAAACAAACATTTCCAGTTGTAAATTTGTTATTATACAGTTTTAAAAATCTAAATTTACCTACCAACTGATAAAGGAATTTTAAAATTTATTAATTAACTAATAACAAAGTCCGCCCTACAAAACATTTCGAGCGAAAAATTCGACCGAAAATTATTGAATAGAGGCATTCTTCTTCTTTATTGGCTCTGTAGCCGCCTAAGCAATTTTGGCCGAATCCAAAACAGCACACAAGTCGTTTCTCTTCGGTGCCAGCTGACGCCAATTGTAAAAACCTTCCTGGGCCTTCCTCTACCTCTGTTACCAGCATCGCTAACCGCGTTGAATACTTCCAGAGCTGGAGCGTTTCTGTCCATTCGAAGGACATGACCTAGCCAGCGAAGCTGCTGAATTTTAATTCGCTGCACTATGTCTAAATGCCTGTAAATCGTTCGCAGAGTTTTTCTCTCGAAAACTCCAAGAGCCACTTCATCAGGTTTTTTTCACTGCCCATGCCTACGCGCCATAAATCAACAAAGACATGATGATGATTTTTCTACTACGAGAGGAGTTTACTTCTCAATTGGCTACTCAAACCAACGTAACACTTATTAGCAAGAGTGATTTCCCGTTGGATTTCGATGCTGACATTATTATTGGCGTTAATGCTGGTTCGCAAATAATCAAAGTCGTTTACTTTTTCAAACATGTAACTGTCAACAGCGACACTATGCTCTGACTGAAAGGAATTAGAAAATTATTGTTGAGAAAAAGAAGAAAAAGCAAAGGATTTCACTAAATTGTAATGAAATATTACTATTCTTCAAAAGTGCTATTTTGGCACTTTGCCCATAATCGAAAAATTAAGTTGAAGTAAAATAGGGTCCAAAATGGCACGGTTTGTGCGAAGCTGGCAGCCCTGGCCGTAGCCCTTGTTTTTGGCGATAATAGTTGTGTTTTCTTATTCTCCAGCAAGAAATATCCAGTAACTTACCAGTAACCAAATTTCGCAGAGAAAGCCAATATTTAGTCACAATGAGTGAAATATGCAAGCAAGTACGAAAACGCAAAACCAGCAAGAAGTTGCTAGTTTTATGAACAGCTGATTAATTTGTTATTTTCCGATGCAATTTTTTCGAAAACTAGTATTTTCCATCTTATTATATATTTAAATAGGTTTATTTTGTCAATTGCAACTCTAAGAGCACCACAAACAATTATTTTGTTAATGTGAATTAAAGTATGTACTAAAAGGTAGAGTAAAACTACATTTCATTGAAATCGGATTAAATTTAATGTTTTCACCCACAAAATTATTTTTAAGAAAAATAAAGTATCAAAATTTTAAACTTTTTAATAATAATAATAATAGATTGGCGCTTACACATATGTTAGTGTTTGGCCGAGCTTCTCCTCCGATTTGTGGCGTGCGCCTTGATGTTGTCATACAAAGCGGAGGGACCTACAGTTTTACGCCGACTCCGAACCGCGATTGTATTTTTATGAGAAGCTGTTTTTCATGGCAGAAATACACCGGAGGTTAGCCATTGCCTGCCGAGGGATGACCGCTGTTAAGAAAAAACCTTTTTCTTTATTTTTTGCGATGTTGCTTTGACCAGGGCTTGAACCCAGGCGTTGCGGAGTGGAAGCGCGCACTGCTTACCACTACACCACTTTTTAATACGACTTATTAAGTAAAAAATTTAGTATGCATCTTTATAGCCCATTCAATTTGTTATAATAATGTGCAAATTCCAAATGTCTCAAAATTCGTCTTGATTTTTGATAATTTTTTTTTTTTACTGTCCTACGCATTTTTCCCAAAAATATGAAGATTTTCAGATTTTTTTATATGGAAAAAAAATACGTAAGATTGTCAGTAAACAAAAAATATCAAACATCAAATTTGAAATTTGCGCATTGTTGTACAAAAATTTAATAGACCATAAATTTGTTTTATAAATTCCTATTAAAAAGATTGCAATTTTAATGAAACCTTGCAGAATACTTCTAAATTTCGAACACAGTTTGAAACTTGGTTTTGTATGGAGTTTGTTTTGTGTTTAATTTTGTGAGTCACTGTATGTATGTACTAACCAAAATCCAATTGAAATGTAGGATGGATGACATGAGAAGTGTGCTTCCAAGATCGTAATTATTTACCCATTGCGGCCACTTTAATCTCGAGTGAATGACTATTTGACAGGAGAAGGACTCTTTAAGTTGCTAATTTTATTTTTCGTGTTAAATGCATATATTAAATGCAATAATTGTTTGTATTTCGGCATCCTTGTATTTCTGTTTTTTAAGGAGGCAAAGTTTTAACGGGAATTATACAAAATTTGTGTAATTAAAATTGTACTGCTGTCTGAAACTAGCCTTTGACGGAAAGAAGGGTGGAAAAAAGATCGATATTTAAGTACACCAATGTCTTAAAGGCGGATGTTGTTGATTTTGATGTTTTTTGAGAAACTATTGGTACATCGAATCATCAATGTTGTACTTCCAGATGTTTGCATCCCTACTTCTTAGAAGAAAAACACTTCCTTGCCAGCTCTTGCTCCGGTAGGTGAATTGACTCATAGTAGAACTTTTTTTAAAAATATGACGAAATTTGTAGCTCATTGTAATTTTTGTTGGAAAGTCCCTGGTATGACCAATGACATGTTTTGGTATTTGTTGTTCAAATTTCTTAAGATTATTAAACGTTTTTAAAAAATATGGTTCCGAACTTTTAATTAAAATGTTTAGCAATCATTTTCAATTAATTACACACATACATGTGTAAATTCTGTCATTGCTTTATTCAAAAAATAAGATTAAAATTACTTCTCTGTCAAAGAACTAATGGAGACACGAGAATTTTCAAATATCAAAAAGCGAATGAGTTAAGAATCATTAATCTCTTCAAAAAGAAAAATACATATATAAATACATATCTATCTACGAGCAGCTAAATAAATTATCGAAATCACTTGGCAGGTGAGAAATGTATTCAAATCTAGAGATTTATTTTGAAAATTTTTTCTTGCATATATGTATGTTTGTACATTAGGCTGCATCACCCTCCATACAAAAAAAAATCAATACTGCTTTTCCATCGAAAGTATAATAATCATGTCTTATATTTTATAACTTCTGCCAAAATATTTCGGAAAACACTAAAATGTATGTATGTGAGCTGGACCCAATGAAAATAACTCCAAAAATCGAGTTCTATATAGATTAAATTAGGTTTTAAAAATGTTTTTCCCAAAAAATCACCTCGGATGATAAAACAGATTAAGCTTAAAGGTCTGCTTAAAAATATTTAAACATTTTTTTCCACGAAATCTATATAATGGCATTTTTGGAGGTAATTTCACACCGGTCTAGCTGGCTTAAGTCTAAATAATTTTCCGAAACATTTTGGCAGAAGTTTTAAAATATAGTACCTTTTTTGTGGTGATGCACCCTAATTTACACACATACAAACGCTAGAAAAATCAAAAACACTCTGCAATTTCAAAGTCGCTTGCAATTAAAAAGTATACAAAAATATTCCAAAGAAAATACACACACGAAAAATAGAATGTCGGCAACGCAAATAAATAGACCAAAAAGACTAGACAAAATGGAACATCAGCTGCAGACATGAACGTAAAGTCAAACGATGCCAAGTGAACAAGCACGCATACACGGGCGAATGAGTAACACATTACTTGAGCCGCTAAAATTAGCATCAACAACAATGCACAAACACTGAAGCAGCAA